ATTGCGCCAAAACTCCACCAACCTGCTTAATCGATCCACATTTTCCAGAGGTCACAACGACGCCACTCCTCACCGCTTCGTTTTGGGGACTCTGATGACCACCTTTTCACCGTCTTCCTGGAGTTCCCACCCGACCCCGTTCTTCTTCACGAGCTCCTCCCAAGATCGTCCAGTGCACTTTTCGATAAAGCTTCTGTCAGCAGTAAAGTAGCTTCTGCCCATGCACTTGAGGGCGTGGATTCTGATGTCCTCCTCTTTGAATTCCATGATTCGCTTCTGGTAGCCTTCAACCCTTTTGGACAGCCGCCAGAAAGTGACCCAGTCGTCCATCACCAAAGCCTTGAGTAGACTGTCGACTCTTCCCGTCGGATCGTGGTACCCGTACTCGACCTTGCTCTTTTTCCTGAACGCCGTGGCCAAATCCCCTTGCCGGCATGCAACGTCAAGGATGTGTAGTCCGGCGAACTCGTTGAACTCGGAAGTCGTCATGGGCGTGTTCTCATGTATGTTTTGGAGCAAATAGAGCAAAGCCGGGAGATATGATTCCCAAGCTCTGCTCAATATGGAAGCATGTATTATGAAGATGTAGGCCCGCTGGGCAAAGCGATCTACGCGATGCGAAGCTACAATGGCCTCTCGGAGCTTGCGCATGGCAGACAGAACCATTTCAAGTTCTATACTCGAGTTCCGGTTGGCTATCGAACGTGCCGACAGAGTCTGCGACGGATCATGCTTAGTCGATGGGTTCATGCCTGGCATGACCGAAATAGGCGCGCTCTTCGACGTGTTCAACGAAGGCCGCACGTTTTTCGGCACACTCATGTTCGCAGATTTGGAGGGGGCGGTGGATACTTTTTGCGCAGTTGGTCCAGCTGCTGGAGCCGCGGCTTCGCTTGCCAGGTGCAGCGCCTCAAACTGCTGCGCCAGCTTGTCTGCGCCGCCGGCTCCAGCGCAAAACTTCATATAACGTTCAACAATCTTGTTGTAGTAGCTCTCCTGGGCGCGAAAGTCGTTCAGCCTGGGCCGCTGTTAGCATCCCACCGGGACTGCAACGACCGGGGGTGCTGGGCGCGCCTTGTCTCTCCTTTGGACGGCAAGCCATAGGCCTCGAGAGGATCCGATGGGGCTGACTTGAGCCTGCTCCATTGCATCGAGGGACCTCGCCGTCCAGTGGGCCGTTGTTGGGAGGTCATTCGGATCGACAAAGGCGTGTTGGTGGCGCGGAGTGAGGTTGAGGTGGTGGTTTGGGTACGTCCGTATCGATGGCGTACATGGCTCGACGTCACCGGAGCGAGTCATGCGCAGGCTAAGGGTCTTTGGGGTCGTGTCATGGCTTCCTTTCCAGGCAGGCATTCAACGACTTCGGCTTCTCGAATCTGTTGAATCGGACCATCGGCCGGTGGGCCAAAGCAGGAGGAGGGACTTTAGGTGGGTTCGTCTTTGACAGCTCCATCTTTCAACTTTCACGACCTGCTCGTCTCAACTCCTACACAATGGACGCTGTCAAAAACGTCGCCCGCGCGACAGCAGACGCGGAGCAACACCTCGAATCGCGTCTTACCGTGCTCTGGCACGAGATTCAGCCATGGCAGCAGGATAATCACTACATCCGCAGCGGCTATCGCCCAATGTCGAATTCATACTTTGGTTCAATCAAGAGTCTTCTCTACATCCACAACGAGACTGTCAATGTGTACACCCACTTGCTCGGCGCCATCGCTGCAGCAATTGGGAGTTTTCTCCTTTACTCGGCTCTCAAGCCTCGGTATGAAGCGGCAAATCAAGAGGACATCCTGATGTTTGGATGCTTCTTCGTCGGTGCTGCCTTATGCCTGGGTATGAGCGCTACCTATCACCTTTTGAGCAATCACTCTCCCCGCGTAGCAAGAATGGGCAACAAACTCGATTACTTGGGAATCGTCTGCTTGATCTGGGGCAGCTTCATCCCAAGCGTCTACTATGGTCTACTCGAGCATCCGAGCCATGTCAAGTTTTACTGGATCATGGTGAGCAACAGCGCCATTCCTGCCTCTCGAAGATGAAAGCAAGGCGCTGAATCAGCAACAGATCACCACCAACAGTCTGGTCTGCGCCATTGCGGCAGTTTCTGAGAAATTCCGGACGCCTACGTTCCGACCCATCCGGGCTGCCATGTTCGTCGGTCTCGGACTCTCAGCGATATTTCCAGTCGTTGGCGGGCTCAGACTCTATGGGATCCAGAAGCTCCGTGAAAGGATTGCACTCGACTGGCTCGTATTGCACGGGCTCCTCTACATCGCCGGTGCGGGAATCTATGCTGTATGCTTCACCTCCACTCTCACAAGATGTCCACTCATGATGACTCCCTACTAGGCTCGAGTCCCTGAAAGGCTGTCGCCTGGCAAGTTCGACATTTGGGGTAGCTCTCACCAGATATTCCACGTCCTGGTCCTGTGTGCTGCGGCCACTCACTTGATCGGCCTCTTGAAGGCATTCGATTTCCAGCACAGTCAACCATATGTCTTGCATGACCGGCTTGAACTCCTTGGCCCAAAGTGGTTTTGAGATTTGAGGAGGATCCTTTCAAAAGATGAGCCCGCCGCGCAGAATCACGGACGCTTTGCGGATGCAGTGAAGCGATGTCTGGGGTTGAAAGCGTCCGTTCTCTCCAAATCCCTTGGCATTTCATCGACGACCTTGGCTCGAAATCGCCTGGCACGGATACCAGATGCAAACGCAATGTGCTCTTGGGAGATGAGGCGCAAAGGTACGTTGTTGTGGTCTAGAGTTATACGAGAGGAACATGCGTAGAATCACTACTACAGATAGAATGAACAAAAGCCCGAGATCGCAAACTCCGAGGCCTCGAATCAGTCCTGGTGCTTTTAATAGCGAGATATGACGGCCTCTTCAGGACCGGTTGCTCGTGCACCCCTGGTAGCCCTGTCGTATCGCGGACCACCGACGAAACCGCAGCAACACGATGTACGATGTGTTGTTGACGTCTGACCCTAGGTCTTTTCTCCGTCTTGCTGGTTGCCATATGGGATTCGTGGTGCCTATGGAGGTGTTGTACTGACCCCCTGAAGTAAAGATTGTCCGGCCAAAGGCCGCATGCGCGACATGATTGACACCTATGGAGGCAGCCTTATTCTGCCCAGTCCAAGGCCCAGACTTGACTGTTGGCACGGGAGGAGCCGCCAGGTTTGCAAACGTCGCTCATCGGCTCGCGTCACGGTGGAGAAGGTGGCGCCCCGGTGAGCGGCGGTGCCGACAGCCACACCATCGGCCATGCGCCGGCGTCAGTGCCTGGTCAGGGCACCTCCGGCGCTCGTGTCTCCTTTGTCTCGCAACTCCTTTTCCACCCTTTTCCAACGCATGCATTCGCCTTTTACGAGATTGGTCCCCGTTTTTCCCAGCAGGGCCCCCTGCTTGCTTGCAGTCGACAGCCGCCGTTGACCATGGCTCGACCAGCTTCTATTTATTCAAAAGCCATGGAGCTGTCTCCCCAGGCCTCCACGCCTTCCAGCCCACCGTCGTTTGCTCCATCATCCTACTACAGTCCTTCTTTTTTATAGTAATCCACGGTCTTTACATTAATACCATCACTCAACATGAAGTCCGTTCAGGCTGCCACTCTCCTTGCGGGAGCCCTCCCATTGGCTGCCGCCGCCACCAACCCGAGCGGTTTCAACATGGCCGCGCAGAAGCCTGATGGAAGCTGCAAGACCCAGGCCGATTGGGCATGGAACTTCAAGAACATGAAGTCTCTTGGCGACTTCACCGACGTCCGCGTTTACGCCGCCAGCGACTGCAACACTCTCCAGCTTGCCGTGCCCGCGGCAATTGCACAGGGCATCAAGCTCCTGGTTGGCATTTGGACCGAGGACGAGGCTCACTTCCAGGCCGAGAAAGATGCCCTCGAGGCGGCCATGACGGCCCACGGCATTGACTGGATGTCCGGTATCTCGGTGGGCTCCGAGGATCTCTACAGGGGTGACACCACTGCGGAGGTCCTTGCCCAGAAGGTGTACGATGTTCGGGGAATGGTGAGCCAGGACAAGTACGGCGGCTCCAACATCAAGATCGGTCACGTGGACACCTACAACGCCTGGAATGCCTCTGCTGCGGCGCTATTCAAGGCCGTCGACTTTGTCGGCATGGACGCCTACCCCTACTGGCAGAGCGTCGACGTCTCCAAGGGCAAGGCCACCTTCCAGGCCGCTCTCGACGAGACGCAAAACTTCATCAACACCTACAACTCGGACGCCAAGCTCTGGATCACCGAGACCGGCTGGCCCACTGCCGGCCCCGACTACGGCGACAGCAAGGCCAGCGTCGCCAACGGCAAGACCTTCTGGGACGATGTCTTCTGCGGCATCACCCCCGACTACCCCACCTGGTGGTACATCAACCGCGACTACTACGTCGCTCCGGCTTCCCAGGCTTTCGGCGTCCTCGACGAGAACTTCAACCCTCTCTTCGACCTCTCCTGCTCCGCTTAAATCATCTTCAGTCGTCGTTGCAAGGAGTTTGGGGAGTCAGGGGGGGGGAGATATACCAAGGCACACACATAGACTCGAGCTTTCAATAGAGACTATAATCAATAATGGACGACGACACGGACTTGCATTATAGCTGTACCAATAGACTCCTTTCGTGCCCAGAGCTTTTGCTTGATTTTGATAACGGAATAGATCAGTGATCTCCTTGTCTGTTTGAGCTTGCTGGTTGATTGTCTAGAAGCTCCTGGATCTGCATGATCTGTTGCGTGTGCCCCTGTTGAACAGACAAGACTGATGACCTGATCTTTTGGTTGTAACACTGGCAGCATGAAGTGTTCTCGGGACTGGAGTGAAGATGCGGTTTTCATGCCTCGAGATCTTCCAGTCCAAAAAGTCAAATGCCCAGCGTTTTGAGGCTTCTTTGTCTTCCATGATCAACATTCCAGATCCACAACTCCGGGAGCACGGATGGCACAATGGCCAAAAGGGATGCGGTCCAAAAAGGACAAAAGATGAAGCAACGACCCGGGATTGAACCGGGGACCTCGGGATAGATGCTGTGACTGCAATCCTGCGCTCTGCCGCTGAGCTATCGCTGCTGCTGACGGTCGTTCTTATTGAATTGAAATCGACACCTGCAAATACAGTATATGTACCGCTTCTTGCACAAGCCCTTTGTTTCACAATTCAGAGAACATCTCTCAATCTTCCAAATTCTGCTCCCACTCCAGCAGACGAATATGAAAGAGGAAACTGAGGCTGAGAAACATTGATCCAGAGCAAAATGGCGGGGTGTGGGGATCATGGTCGAAAGTGGCTGAACTGTGTAACTCATGCGGAGACGAAGAAATGCCGACGCTTATCACAATCCTGAAAGCCAGACGCAGGAACAAAATCCAGGACAGAAGAGGAGCGTACGAGATCAACAAAAGACAGGCCGTGAGTGGTGGCTAAAAATACCTGGTCATTAAAATCGATGGGGAACTGCAAGGCCGCAGCCCCTACAATGCGCACGCCGTGGTGTCGCAAGGGTGGAAAGGAGAAGGGAAAGTTTTTGAAAGGTCTGGGAAATTCGGTCGAGGACGGAGAACCAAGGGAGAACGGTTGCTTTTGAGAATTTTCTTGAGTCTTTACCTGGAAGTAGGGACCAATTCTCGAGCAAGAAGAGACCTTGGCGTGGAGTTGGTGGCGTGGAGGTCCCGTTGTGCCGTGGTCGTTAGGCTTGAAGGTGGCGGTGCACATTGGCGCGGACCCAACGCAGGACGTGACGTATGCAGGCTGAGGCGAAGATTGCGCTGAGCTGGGGATGCAGCATTTTTTGAAGAGAAGAGACCAACAGAGGGGAGAGAAGACGAGCAGTTGTTGTCGATGAAGAGGTTGACAATAATCTGAGTGGAATCAAGGTAGAGGCTTAGTCAGGCAAATGCTCGTTACCTTTGGTTGTCCATCCACCGATGCGAGGCCTCCGGCTCGACGCAAGGTCAATCCATGAATTGATTGCGACAGCCGCCCTTCACTCTTCCCTTCACTCCTCCACCTGATGACTACCTGTCTCGCTTCGTCAGAGTTGCCTCTACGCAACAACTCCTTCGATCCTCACTAACGCTAGCTCCTGGCTCCCCAAAACCCGACTCTGACCTCCGCCCATGCTCCCTCCCGACAATGACTGCGACGATTGTGTCCCGGACTACATGCGCCGTTCAATGTCGACCATCGTCTTTTCCTGTCTGCCCTTCCTGGCTACCTTCGTAATCGTCGCCATCGCCGTCCAGCACCGCATCTTTCCTCTGCTCTCCCGCGCCCCACATTCCAAGCTCCAACATGAAGCGTTGGGATCACCAACCTCCCAGGTGACCTTCCGCGACCCGCTACGGAAGAGGTGGTCGAAACTTGCTCTCCCCTGCGTCCCGAGACTTGCTGGCCTAGTCTTCTCGTCAAATATTGCCCTCAGCGCGGTGCTGGTGGAGCTGCTGCTTTGCGAAATCTCGGGCTCCGTCAACCCTGTCGCTCGTGGTGTCGCTCTTCGAGTAACACTTACGCTCCTCCTGCTCCTCCTCATTGTCGTCACGCCTGCTCTGGAGATCCATTCCGTTATAGCAGCCGGAGGATGGAAGTTCACCGACTCGGCAAAGAGCAAGATACGGATTGCCTGGCTTTTGGAAGGCATTGGACTGGCTCTATGGCTGTTGGGATTCTGGGCTGTTGGAGAAATCCTCCTCGGGAGCTACTTGCACGAAAAGAGCTATACGGACAAACACAGTTTCAGCGAGGGTTGTCTCGAACGGATTGGTGTGATTGGAGTCAGTCTGATGGCTAGTCTCGCCGGATTTGCCGCGATTTCCTCGCTCTGGCAAAATTTTGGCATCAGGACTCGACCCGTAAGTGCTCCCGGATCTATGAGATCATGAAGTCTGGAGCAATATGCTAACTCGCCATTTAGGTGACCGAGGCGGATATTGCTCGTAAACATGCCGGTCTTGACGCAACCCACGACATGCTGCAAGCAAAGCAGAGCCGTCTGCGGGCTGTCCAACGCCGACTTTCTGAGAACCCACCAGAAGGCTTCATGTCACGAGTGATTGGATCGATCCGGGGCAGCGCCGAGCAGCAAGAAAGGCAGGGTCTTGAGATGGAAGTGTCCGGACTGCAAGCCATGGCTGCTTCGTTGTCAACTTCCCTGCTGGCACTGCAGAACCGTCGACAAGCGCAGCTTCGCTCGAAAACACCAATCGGACGCCTCTTGAACTTCTTCTCCTACAGCTTTTCCATTTACTGCCTCTACCGTATCGGCGCCACGACTTTGACGACCTTCCATCGATTCTCTTCCCCGACCACGACGTTTTCGAACAGCGATCCTGTCAACAACATCCTCGCTCTGCTCGCCAAGCACTGGGACCCTTCTCTGGATCGAGCGGCTTGGTCTCGTCAAATTTCTTTCCTTCTCTCCGGCGTCATGCTCCTGGCCTCCTTCAACAGCGTCGTCCAGACGTTTTTGATATTCAGTCGTCTCGCGCCCACTGTTTTGCAACACGCCCAGTCCAACATTGCGCTCATCATCTCTCAAATCAGCGCAACGTATGTTATCAGCTCGGCGCTGTTGTTGAGGAGTAACCTGCCGCCAGAGTATCGAGGTGTCATCAGCGAGGCACTTGGAGCTCCTCTTGAACCCCATTTCGTCGAAAAGTGGTTCGAAGGATGGTTTCTGGCTGCGGTAATAATATCCTGCCTGGTGATATGGCTTGGCAGAAAGGTCGGCGTGGGCGAGTGGGGAGAAGATGACGATTTTGCAGAGTCAGATGTTGAAATGGGCAAAATGAACTAACGGGGCTTTGGGTCTGAGTTAAAATTACTGTTCTTGCCGGGTCTTTGTTGGCCAGATGAGAACCAAAGGAGGCGTTATTTTGGTGTTCAGGAATTACTAGATTTAGAGTCTGTTTGGGCGGCGAGGGAGCTTCAGAGGACTCTAGACTCGAGTCCTCATCACAGCGGGCGAGAATGATTGCTACTTAATATTTAGTGTCTTGGTCAAAAGGAGCTCATGGCAATTGAGGACCAAATCAATACATGAACATATCCAATTTTGGTGAGCAAACAGCATGGCGTCAAGGTGCCGACCTCTTATGGCGTTTCATTGGAGCCTAGCTGTCTGTTGATTTAGTCCTGTGAGTTGCTCTACATCATCTTGCAGGATTTACAGAGACACAACGGACATCAATTCTATCATTCAATGGTAACTGAAAAGTGTTGAAGCGTGATTCTCTCAAGTCTTGCTGGAGGTGCACCACGATCACACGGCATGGAATGAGAGAACTGCTGTGAGTGATAGATAAGAGCCGAATGGCGTCGTCTCATTCTTTGGAAGTTCCGGGACTTATTGAGGGACTAGACTCCTCATGTATTGCATCCTTTCCAGAATCACCTTCCTTCTCCTCCTCTGCTTTCTCGTTTTCGTCCGTAAGCGATTCACTCTTCCTTGGTAAAGATTCTGATTCGGCGGGAGAGTCCATCGGTGGAATCATCGGGACGCCGCCGTCTTCGTCTTCGTCATCTTCGCTAGCCTCACTGTCAACTGGAGTGTCTAAGTTGCGCAGTTCGGGGCTTTTCAGAACCGGTCCAATGTCTCTTGTGTCATCGGGAGAGTTCTCGCCGCTGACCAGTCCGCTGGTGATGCTATCTGGGGTCTTTGGTGGAGCGTCTTCGTCTGGGGGTGGAACGAAGCCAACGGCTTTCGCCACTGCTGCCGCCTCATCCTCATTCCCTGCCTGTTGGATCTCGTCGAGCATGAGGCTGTGCCTGTGGTCGGTGTCCAAAAGATGTCCTCCGGCGGCTCCACTTTTGTCAAGAAGATCTCGGTAGCCTGTACGGGAGGGATCTTGTAGGCGTTTGCGTTTCGTCTTGGCTCTCTTGCTTGTCGGACGAACAACGATCACCGGGACAGGAGAATGTTGCAAACAATATTTGGACACAGATCCAGGAAGAAGTCCTTGAAAGCCGCCTAAGCTTCGACCCCGAGTGCCAACGATTAGTATTGCGGGTTCGTGAAGATTGATCTGTCACCATTAGATTCGCGCTTGGAACATGTAAGGCGCGAGACGAACCATTTCATCAATGACCTTGTTGACTTTGCCAACCGAGAACTCAAGGACCAGATTGATAGCCTTGTTCTCAGTGTTTTTTGCCTGAATACGCTCCATCAACTTCTCTGCTTCTGCACGATATTGGCCATGGTCGAGACTGCTCTCGCCAGCGACCTTGTCGTCCTTTTCGACGACCCTCAAGCAAACAATCTCATCGCCGTCGTCTACCAGCTCATCAATGAGCCATTCGAGTGCGTATTCCGAATAGTCATTTGAGTCTAGTCCGCAGAGAAAGGTTCGCGAGCGCTTGGTGTATTCGTAGTCTTTGTGCTTCCGGATCAGGGTGAACGAGTTTTCTTCGATGAAATCGGCCGGTCTGTCAAAAGTGTCGAACGAGACCCGCGGCTGAAATACACTATTAAACCTGTTAGTGTTGTCTCTCGCCTCACAGTTCCGGCTTGAGCCAGGATACGCGATGCGCTGTTTTGTTGACTTTGGCCAGTGCATGGTAAATCCAAAGCCCCAGTTCTGATCGAAGGCGCCTTTCAGGCAGTGAGACTTACGGTGGTGGAGGAGGAGACGAAAGACGACGTCCTGGCTTGACCTTGGGACTGCCGCTCCGCTTTGGTAATCCATTGTTTGCTAGGAATTGTATGGATGGTCGGCGAATGTCGTGTGCTTCCTGGGCCTTTACGGCTTCGAGTTGACTGGGCTTTGCACTTTGCGCCGCAGGGGCAGCTGCGTGATCGACTGGAGAAGATGGCGACGGCGATCTATCGTCAGGTTGGCCTGGCGTAGGATGCGGCATGTCGACAGCTTGGATTGCAAATAATGGTCGAGCACTTGCGGATAGCGCGAGCTTCGGCGACTGGTGGTGCCAAAAAAAGAGGAGAGTGGACTGCAAGAGGGGACAACGTGCTGCCACGCATAGAACGAGCGGGACTAGCTAGTGCAATGCACACAGGCTCGTCCAGACCTGGTCAAGTTGAGTGATTGCGCGGCGGGACAGAGCGAGAGCGGCC